AATATAGATAAAACCTAATAAACATTGCAATATTACTAAACATTATATAGTACAATATTAACAAGAGCAAAGACAAGGTATAGAGGAGCTTCCTTTAAGTACTAAACCTAAAAGAACATTATATTATTGCAATCTAAGAGCCCTAGCTCAACCTATATATAAAGAGACTAGCAACAGTTAAAGACCTAAGATACCACCTAATTATCTACAACTAGGGAGCCCTAAGGACATACATCTATATTAGTAAGGAGATAGATACAGAAACCTAGCAGGCCCTACTATAGGAGGATAGGGACCTAACATTAGTTTAAGTAGAGACATCCTAAGGTATACTCCAAGTCTACTACATATACAACCTACTACTAGACTTAAGAAGCAGTACCTAACTAAAAACCCTAGAAAGACTACCTAGAGTTATCTAGGGGAACACCTACTAAATCCTACTTAGGGATTTCAACCTCTACTACCCCCTCTAGGGCTTAGACTTTACCCTAGCTTACTACTTCCTAGTAGGAAGACTAATTGATATATTAGAGAGGGAAGAAATAGAAATTATTACCCTAAAGGGACTAATTACTTAGGAAGTAAGAGGAAGCAGTAGCACACTAGACCTATACTTTATATTATATTAGATTAGGAACAGGATTACAAGATATAGGATCAACTAGGAACTAGAAGAATTATTAGACTACTTCCCGGTACAGATTGAGCTAAATGTCTAAGCTAATTAGGAAAGGGAACTAGAGGAGAAGCTTAACTAGAAGGGTACCTAATAGGGCAGGATTAGGGAGGAACTAGAAAGGGACCCAAAACTAAAGGAACTCTTAACAAAGCACCTACTAAGGCTAGAGGATATTAATAAAGCAGTAGAAGAACTAATAGGAATCCTAAAATAGGTAGCTAGAAAGTATACCCTAGCAAAGAAACATTCACTATACTAGCAACTATACTAAACTAGTAAGTATACAAAGAAGGTTAAAGTAGCAAGGAAGGCTAAGAGGTAGTAGACACAAACCTATACCTAGGAAGTATAGGACATCTATAACAAAGCCTACTAGGAAAAGAAGATCTAGATTAAGAAAGACAAGATACAAGAATAGAGATCTATAATAGGAATAATTACAAAAAAACTAGAGGAGATATAGAGGATAGCTAAATAGGCAAAGAGACCTAAATAGGATAAGGATATGCTACTACAATTCCCGGACATTATAGACTAATAAGGACAAATGCAGACTACAATAGAAGGGAAAGTAAGAGCCCTAGGCTAACACTTCTTCTATAGAAAAGTACAAGTAGACCTATTAGATATAAGGGAGATAGAACAAGAGACTCTACTACTAGGTATACTAAGAGACACCTAGGTTAAACCCGAAACTATTAAAAGGATCCTAAAGAAAATTCTAGGCAATAAGGCACTAGGAGAAGACAAGATCTATAACAAACTTCTAAAAGCATATAAGAAGGGGCTAGCCTTAGTACTAGCTAATATCTTTTTATAAAGCCTAGCACTAGGACACTACCTAAGACTATTTAGGAAGTCCCTAACAGTAGTGCTAAGGAAGCCTTAGAAGGAAGACTATATATAGCTCAAGGCCTATAGACCAATAGCCCTACTTAATACAATAGGCAAGGTGCTAGAAAAAATTGTCGCTAAAAGGCTAATAACCTTTACCGAGGAAAGGAACATCCTTCCTAAAGGCTAGATAGGAGGAAGAAAGAAGAGGTTAATACTAACAGCTATAGAACTAATTACAGAATAGATTAAGTATATCTAGCACTATAGTCAAAACTAGGTAGCAACCCTCCTCTCCCTTAATATCTTAGGAGCCTTTAACAATATCTCCTATAAAAGGCTCCTATATATACTCAAATAGAAAGCTATATCAAACTAGATAGTCTAATTCATCTAGTCCTTCCTATAGGAAAGATCAATATAGCTTATTCTAGGCAAATTCAAATTAGACCTAATGCTAACTAAAAAGGGAATCCCCTAAGGATTAATACTCTCCCTAATCCTCTTCCTTATCTTTATAGCAGACCTACTCCTACTCCTAGAATCAAAAAACATATTAGCATTAGGGTTTATAGATAATACGAACATCCTAGCCTAGTCTAAGACAATAGAAACCAACTACAAGATCCTAGAAGAGAAGCACTAGGAGTATAAAAAATAGGCAAGGAGGCATAGAGCAAAATTCGCCCTAGAAAAGTACTAGCTTATCCACTTTAGTAAGGCTAAATCAACCTATAATATAAAGCAATCAATTACTATCTAAGGCTTTGAAACCCAACTATTAGCAGAGCTTAGGGTACTAGGGATCTAGCTAGATCCAAAACTGAATTAGGGACTATAAGTAAAGAAGGCAAAGTAGAGGGCAGATACTAATATACAATCTATTAATAGGCTTATAGCCTCTATATAGGGGGCTACATTCGAGAAAGCTAAAGTTATATACAAAGCAATTGTCAAGCTAGCAATACTATATAGAGCACAGATATAAATAGCCTAGGAGAAAACACTAAAGAGGATTGAACAACTAGTTAGCAGGTCCTAAACCTAAAGCCTAAAGAAAATCCTAGGAGCATACAAAACTATACTAATAAGGGTAGTAGAAATAGAATTAGGGGTCCTACTAGTCAAACAATACTTTAAGGGACTAAGACACCAATATATAGCAAAGACAATAGAATACCTAGCCTAATAGACTATCTAAAAGGCACTAGACAAGATAAAAGCCTAGTACATTAGGACTAGGAGGCGAGGCAGACTATAAATAACTCCCTAGAAAGTCAAAGACCTAGAGTAATATAGAGTCTTAACAAGAGAAATGCTAGAGAAAGAGCTTTAGGGACTAAATATAAGGCTAAAGGAAGACAAACTAAAGGGAGAGAAACAAAGCCTAGTAGAATTAATTGCTAGATACCTATAGGAGCAGGAATAGAACAAAACATAAGTTAGACTAGGAACCCTAAAGGCACTAATCAAATTTAGTTAATATAACTACTAGCTCTATAAGGACCTAAATAGGGCCGAGGTAAGCCTAGCTATCTAAATTAGATCTAAATACATTGGATTCAGATCTTACCTGTTTAGAAGAAACGTCCTAGGAATTAAAAGTAGGGCTTGCTAATATAGCTACTAATCTTAGAACCCTAAGCATATACTGCTAGTCTGCCCTTAATAGTTAGAAGGCAGAAGTGATTAGAGACTAAAAGCAATAGAAAGGGAATACGACAAACTAATCTAGAGCAAAGAAGACCTAAAGAGGATAGTAAAGTAGATTATCAAATAGGGATTTATACAACAATTCGCACTAGTAAGGGAAACTAAGGAGTAGATAAGAAGGAGGGAAGAAGAGGGGGAAAGAAGGGCAGGGCAGTAGGCAAGGTAGTTAGAGGGTAACAACTATAATACTAGTACATCCTAGAGGAAGGAGAATAAGGAAATAAGGAAGATTAATACTTATAAATAGGATAGGAAGGAGGTTTTTACTAACTAAGTTGGTTTCCTACCTAAAACAATATATAGAAACAGACCTGCATAGGCCGAAAGGCACTACAACAGGCAAATGAAATATCTATCTATCTATTTATTTAGATTTCATTTAGATTTAATTTAGATTTAATTAAGTTCTATTTGAATTTCATTTAATTTCTATCTAAATCTACTACTAAAGCTCTTAAACTCCTTTATACTTTTAAAATTATATTCTATTTACTTTCTATTCTATTTATATTCTATTTGTATTCTTAATATTTTCTATTTATATTAGCTACTATAATTATTCTTTATTATTTTAATAGTATTTTATAGTCTCTAAGTCTAATTAGAGAGAATCTTAGTAATTAGCTAATATAATTTTAAAATATAGCTAATTTAGTAGTTAGCTAAACTATAATTTAACTATTTCTTAGATTCTATTTAAATTCTATCTAATTCCTATCCGATTCCTATCCGATTCCTATCCGATTTTTAAATTGTATTTAATTCCTATTTAATTCCTATCTAAATCCTTTCCGAATCCTTCCCGAATCCTTTCCGAATCCTTTCCGAATCCTTTCCGAATCCTTTCCGAATCCTTTCTAAATCCTTTTAAAAAATCTTTACCCTATAGTAATTATTATAGAAGTAAAAAAATAAAAGATTATTTATTTCTTATTGAAATTTCATTTAAGTTCTATTAAAAATATAATAAACTTACTCAATGGTTTCGCATTCCAATTAGCTTAACCTCGGCTAACCCCCTATCATTTTAGAGTTCCTAACCACCGCGGTAGTCAGCTCGGCGATTTTGGTGGTCAGACCGGCGCTGCGCTCGTCTTGGCATGCCAAATCAAGACTTACGAGAAAAACAACCAGATGTTCTTGAACCGACGCGTGAAGTCCTTGCCCTGCAAGATTGAGCGGAAGACGCTGTAGCTGTATGAAAGAAGGGTCTTGTGCAGAGTGTCTCATAGCCATGCAACCATAGCAGCCCAATCTGATCTTGGCGAGCCGTACTTCAACGCCAAGAGAAGTCATATTCTAATATATACATGACAATTCTAGCTACTCATCACGTGAGCAATACCCCGGGGGAAAAGGGACTAAGGCGCCACGTTAAGGTCTCAACCTTGAACACAATTCCGTGGTCCGAAAGGGCGTGGGTTCGAATCCCACTCTCATCAGCTTGCTTTTTTGCACCTCTTTGGCTCCTTCCACGCCTCCATTGTATCTGTACTTCCATCCTGCATAGCTCCATCTTTCACAACATGTCTGAGCAGAGACAGGTTGACAGGAAATAAGGAGACGTACCTCCGCGCATCACCGTCCAAACAGCTGCCCAGACGGTGCTTACGGACATGTGGGGGCTCAGTTATACCTTCTTGAGCTATATTGAAGCTCTAGATCCACCTTTTGCTGGATACGAATGAGAACAGGTTGATACTCTCAGAAAGTGCTCGACTTTGCCAACAGGAATCTTGAGCCTCGGAAGTGCTGCCAGCATAGATTCAAGATGACTGCACCAGCTGCACAACCTCCCAAGTCCTTGCTAGGACGGCACCGAATCTTAGCTCCCACAGCTGGCGTCCACGTCTCTCCAATCTGTCTTGGCGGCATGTCTTTTGGCGATGCCTGGAAAGATTTCATGGGCGAATGCTCCAAGGATACGACTTTCGAGATCCTGGACTTCTTCTACGAACAAGGAGGCAACTTTATTGACACTGCGGCAAGCTACCAGAACGAAGAATCCGAGCAATGAATTGGCGAATGGATGGCAAGCCGAGGCCGCCGAGACGAGATGGTCCTGGCCACGAAATACACAAATGCCTACAAAAGCTACCTGGGCACTCAAGTCCAGCAAAGCAATTATGGCGGCAATTCGAGGAAGAGCTTGCACGTCAGCGTAGAGCAAAGTCTGAAAAAGCTGCAGACCAGCTACATCGACCTGCTTTGCGTACATTATTTTGACTTCTCGACGCAGATTCCTGAAATGATGCATTCACTACATCACCTGGTTGCTCAAGGCAAAGTACTATACCTATCTATCAGCGATACACCCGCTTGGGTGGTTGTCAAAGCCAACTGCTACGCTCGCGAGCACAGCCTTACGCCCTTCAGTGTCTACCAAGGAAGATGGAGCGCAGCTGAGCGAGACTTTGAGCGTGAGATCATTCCAATGGCTAGGGATGAGGGCATGGCTTTGATGCCATGGGGGTCGCTGGGAGGTGGTAAGCATTAAGGCTCACCACAGCCTGAAAACAGACTGAAGTCCATATAGGCTACTTCAAATCTCCGGGTGAGACCAAGGATGCTGGTGGTCGGACACTGAACGTCTCCACAGGGAAGGAGGCAGAGGTGTCTGTCGTTCTAGATCGCATTGCGAAGGAGAAGAACACGCTCATCACCAGCGTGGCCCTAGCATATGTCCTTCACAAAGGTGAGCTCATTTGTTCTCGGGTCAGATCGATGCTGACAACATGCGAGCTCCATATGTCTTTCCCATCCTGGGCGGTCGCAAGGTATGTATGCATTGAATCAAGAGCGAAGCAAGAATATCTGCACACTGACACATAATCTCATGCACCATAGGTCTCGCATCTGAATAGCAACATCGAAGCTCTCGGTCTCCGCCTGACACCCAAAGACATCGAGGAGATTGAATCCGCGTACGACTTTCAAATTGGATTCCCACACAACTTTATGACTGGTGCGAACAAGGCTCCAAGAGGACCAGAAGACATTGTCTTTACGAAGCGGCTTGGGCACTTTGACTATGTACAGTCACCTCAACCGATTGTGCCGCACCAAGGGTCATTAGGAGATGCGAGTGCTGAGAACCTATGAAGCCTGCGCGTCGCTGTGAGTTTCGCGAAAGTCTGATACTGCCAAGTGAACGTCTCGCTAAAGAAATCGGAGATTGAAGAGAATAGAGGAGGAATATTTGTTTTTGGCCAAGCATGTTTCTGGCTCTTACGACAGAGAAGACATCAACCACCCAGACAGCGGCGTCAAACGAGGTCTCGAAAACCGCCATCGATCAATGATGACCTTAGCCGGCATGACTGGTTCCGGTCTCCTCATCGGCTCAGGAAGACCCCTACAAAACGGCGGACCAGCATCTCTTTTCATAGGTTTCGTGGTCTTGTTGCAGAGTCTGTTTTCCGCTCTAAATTATTATGCTAGAGTTGAGTCTGTGGCAGTTACAGCGACCGAGACAAGGAACCCAGGGCGATACGACAAGTTTTCTGGCGCATAATCTTCGTCTACATGGGCTCAGCATTCTTCTCTGGCTTGACTTTTTTCGCCTGGATGCAGTCAGTACTAGGTTCAAGACGTCCAGTATGAAGCCGTACCGCGAATTTGCTGCCTGGTCCACAGAGTTTGTTGAAATTCTATCGCTGAATTTGATGATGACGTCTGAGTACTCGGACTCGTCATACATGTCCGCAGTATTGAGCGCCATGGCTTTTTCGCATTGATCGCTGTGGTGGTAATTGTGGATAAGATGTCAAAGTGTCTGTGGTGCGTGGTTGGGTTGTAAACTCGTCGAGGTAGATCGAGGGGAGCCGTGGATGATGTATGTGACACAGGAGTAAGTTTACTGAAGTGAGCCACATGTGATCTGCCCCAGGAAAGTGGAGGTGAGTGGTAGTAGTATGTTGAAAAAAGTGAGGTGTCTCTGCGCGCTTACAATGAGTCACCTAGTCAAGACTCTTCCTTCAGATCCCATCAGGTGCCCAGTGAGGCCGTAGTATCAACACCAAAATTCCGTAAAATCTCCAATTCCACAAGGCAGATCAGATCTTCCTACCCCCTCACACCCATCACCACTTCCTCGCAATATCCCTCCCCCCAACCTTATTAAACAACCAACTAATCCCAATCATAATCGTGCGTCTCCACGACCTGGGCCAATGAAAGATAGATCCAGATCTCCAAGCCAACCACGCACTATACCCAGTCCATTCCTCCCTTCCCCCAATCACCCCATCTTTCTGTCCCAGATACGCCAAATTCGGCTTCTGCCTGTACTCAAAAGGACCGAGCGTCTCGTCACCGGAATTCAAGGCCTGGGCTAGATACTCGGCTTTCTGCACAGCGACCTCCGCGAGTTGTGGTAAGGAGTAGCCTTCGATATCAGCTGAATCACCTAGTGCGAAGACGCCGTCTAGGACTCGGTCGTTGGTATCACGGACGCGAAGGCGTCGGTCAGTGGAGATCCGCGAGAGCTTGTCATCCTTCTTGACATCGAGTTTCTCCGCGAGTTTGTTAGGTGCAGAGCCCGTCGCCCAAAGCAGCATTCCGTACTTGATCTTGCCACGCTCCTTGGTATATATAGCGCCTTCCTCGACTTTCTCAATATGACTTTCCGTCTCAATCTTAATTCCACGATCCACAAGCTTCTTCACAGCATATTCTCCCAACCTCTCATCAAAATTGCCGAGGATGGTAGGTGCGACGTCGTGAATCTCCAGACTCAATTTCCCATCTAGATGCGCGTACAAATGTCTCATTTCTTTGAACCATAAATCGTAGAGCTCCGCAGTCGCTTCGATTCCGATCGGGCCTCCGCCGACGATGATGATGCGGAGAATTTCTCGTTGCTGCTGGTCAGTGAGATTTGGAGTTGAAGCTGCGTCCAGCATTTCCAGGAGTCTTTGCTGGATCTTGCGAGCATCGTCCGTGCATCGCAGGAAGCTTGCGTGCTCCAGAGCGCCTGGAGTTCCAAAAGCCTGAATGTCGCAGCCGGGAGCCAGAATCAGTTTGTCGTAGGATAGAGTGAATGGATGAGTGTCCTGTAAAGCTTCTTCCGCGATCGTCTTCACGAAAGGTCTGCAATGGACTTCTCGCTTTCCAAAATCAACATTTTCAACGGTGGCTTTGTAATACGCAAGTCCCGGCATTCGATTGCGACGGCGTATAGGTTCTTCTGCTAGTCTGCTCGTGATCAGTTTTCATTCCATTGTCATCGAAATTGTGACATTAGTGCTTACCGGAAGTCAAACATGCCAGTAGCTGCTACCTCCGTTCAGGCCTTTGTGCATTAAGGATTACGTTGCGCGGTGGTGAATTGGTTAGATTGCACGTGATAGATTTAAATTAGGGCTAGCTTCCGTCTTTCCGAACAACCAATTATATACTACTCTACCTAATCCTTTGCCCAAAGGCCTGAAGCCAAACCGCTAATTTTCATCGTGGATTCCGCTATCAAAATACGATCTCGCTACACCAACGACAACCAGCAAATCCAATGTAAGGAGGTTGTAGCCCTACCAATTGCGAGTCTGACGATCCAAAAATCTCGTGTATGCGACGTGTGCGCGCTAAGTTACACCAATTCAGCCGAGCCTACTTCTTAGACAAACGAGTTAGGCGAGACCAGCAATTTATGTTTCCTGATAATAATTCTCGAATTTGTGAAGCAATAGTATCATTAAAATAGCGGATATCCTTGATTACTGAATTATCTAGGAACCGTCTCTATAAAGTACTATACTACGGGTAATGGTTGTTGCGGTATTCGAGCCAATATGCATGTGCTAGTAGGTGGATAGGCGAGCCTGCACCCGCCTAGAACGGTTTGTCGTTAGGCGCTTCGCTAGAATAATGAGATCTCGAATAGCGCTAAACCTAATGTGGTATAGTATAGAAATGGAAGTCACGAGCAGCACACACACGAATTCAACCACGAAGCGCCTGAATGGAGGTAGAGTAGCTGCACTTGCCAGTAGCGGCGTGTATTGAACTGTACGAATGGGTGAAACGACATTGATGTTGTATTTTGCCACTGATAAGGCTTGAGCCAGCGTGAAACCCGACCTGAGAATCAATCAGTAACTTTTGCTCTCACACGACGGGACTGCATCAGGTGAAGTAAACTTACCAGCCCGAGCCGACGATGACCACGGTGGGCTTGGAAGCCATTGCAGCCGCTTTAGCAGTTGTGTATCACCTCTTCGGGAAGATAGCAGAAAAACTTCAGCAGATCAAGAAAGTTTACTTACACAGCCTGAGTCTGAGAACGAAGAGCTACTACATGCGTGTCAGCCATCGTACGGTGATGTCTTGACGTCACATAAGATATAGGCGAGCATCCCGCGATACTTCCACCCTCGCCTGGAGGTCATTTGCTGCAGCTCCCTTGGCAGATCATATTCATGCTGAAATGTTTTGTGCGCTTGATGGTGTGGAAGATTCACCATGGCTCGAGGAAGCCATTCCCGGTAGAACCAAAGCAGGCTTTCGACCAGCTCTCCTTCGTCGGCTCAGCCTTGATACTTCTAGAAGTGCTTCGTTCATGGAGAGATCGAGTACCTGATAGCTTGGTCGAGCCGTCGAATTTCCCATCTCAGAAATCATAGATGCATGCTATGCCAGTCTCAACGCCATACTGCTGAATGCGACCTTTCACGAAGTCATGCCATACCAACAGCGAGCAAGTGCTTGCTCTCCATTCCGAACGCAATGAGCAAAATAATCGCCCAATCCCCATCCCATGATTCCTCCCATGCCCACCATGCCTCCTCATTTCCAGACGCCATCCTGTACAAATACCTCCTTCACTCATACAATATCCCTCTATCCCCATCATCAAAACAACCAAACATAAGCAAACAACAAAAATATAAAAACAAAAAACCCAACCTGAAAAGTCTCAAAAGTCAGCCAAAAAAAAAACTCTCGACCCTCATGTTATCGCCTTGCTTACCCAAACCCTCCAACCCACCCCCGTCCTCTCCGCCATCCTCAACATCCGATTCATAGTCCCTCGCAACCGATTCCTCGTCCCTTCAAAAGAATCATTCATTTTCTCCGCAAAAGCCGTAGAATCTCGAATTTCCTCTCCAATAGCCATCGTCAACTACGCATCCAAAAAAAAAAAAAAAAAAAAATCAGCACAGTTGTTCCCTAGCTTATTGAATAAATATATGTCTGACGCGCTCGACCGACTTACATCTTTCAACATTTTCACCTTCCTACTCATTTCCCCGGCCTGCTCTTCATTCTGCGCTTCCATTTCCGATAGCACGGAATCACTGTATTGGCCTTTTTTGTTGGGGGTTGCAGGTCGAAATCCACCCCCTTCTGCTGCTGCGCCGGGATAAGCGCTGAACGACGGACCTCCAGCGTATGCATGATTCGAGTCATTATTGGCATTCAAACCATAAGGCGAAGAGGATGGATACGGAGGGTTTCTCGAAGAAGAACGGTTATTATTGCTGGCGCTGGAGGCAGGTCGAGAACGGGTTTGTTGGGCATCGTAATTGGAGAAGAGCGCGTTGCGCGCTTCGTTGCGGCCGAATCTACAAGTTTTGAAAGTCTTGTGAGTGCGCGGACGGAATGGGGGAAGAGATATTTGTAACATTACTTACCTTGAAGCCATTGGACAAGTGTTCGTGAGGGTTGTGCTTTTTGGGCCGGTTTAGGGAATGACCGCGGGGCGGGGATATCTTGGTCTAAATTCGGAAGGAGGAAAGCAGATGTTTGGTTGGTATCAGAACAGAACAAGTTGCTTCTTGCAAGTTTGGAGCACAGAACACTTCTGAGATTCCCTGGGTGCAAATTGCAAGTGTCATATGATTGATACTTATCTGTCATTATATTAACATCCCCTGCTAGCCACCAGTGACTAGGCAGCATCTCCCACGCCCAACATAGATCGACTGACTGCTATCATCGTGTTTCTGCCTTTCCAATACTTTTAACATTTTTGACTCCCACTCCCATCATATCCTGTACAAGAACGCCATTAAAATGCTCCTCCTCAATCTGGCGACATTGTCTTGACTGGCGACATTGTCCTGGGGCCTCGTCCACGGAGATGCTATGTGACTCCCACACAAAGTATGACACGAACTCCAGATCTAGCCCATTCCACTCCTCGGTCTGACCAGCCCTTGGATTAAATCGGAGTACTACATGTTAGCGAGCTCGTGATCAATCTGGTGATCCAAGAATGCTCGCTTTTCTCCAATAAGCTGACATTGGAGCTTCTGTTCCGCCAATGCTTTGAGTTGCTTCTTGGTGACGCTGTCCATGTCAACTTCACCTAGGCACTCGCGAATGGCCATCGTGATAGCCTCGTTGGTGGGTCCTTGTGTTTGGAAGGCTGACAACGAGCTGAGATGCTGACTTGGGTTTGTAGAACCAGGTCGGCTGAACTGTGGACCACCAAGGGGTGATCGTGCACGAGGGCCTTGGTACAGCGGCGGTGACTGCATGCCACCCATCAGATTCTCCTGGGATTGGTGACGAGGGCTATACGGCGACCTACTGCCGCTGTTGTGGTGATCGCTCATGCCTCCCATGGACATCAGGCGTTGCGAATCTTGGCCAGCGGGGTTTTCGTTGTACCGAGTCATTTGAGTGAACGTCGATTGACGACCCAGTGCATTAAATGGGCCAGGCGACTGTGGCGGTCGGAATGATTGGTGCTGCGGAAACCCAGTAAGGATAGTCGAGGCTGGCTTGGCGGAGCTATACACCGAGTGCATGTCGTCCATTTCGTAGCCTCCGTCTTGGTAAAGGCCGGTATCCTTCTCGTTGCCATACGCGCGACGACCCGGAAGATTGTTCGCAACGGCGTAGTCATCCCATCTCTGTAGAGGTATACTCCGTGGATCGTATCCTTCGTCGTCGACAGCCACAACTTTCTTGTCACCACGTTCTCCAACCACGACACGCGTGTTACCCCAGGAGAAATCGTCCTGCTTCCAGAAGGAGTACACTGGAAGGATGAATGACCAGATTGGATAGGCCAGGATGTAAATGATCATCCATCCAATGTGCTGCCACTGCCTCTTGATGGTGAAGATGACGGCTTGGAGACCGTATACCGCGGCAAGCATGATGATCGAGATCAGCGGAAATTGCCCAGATCCCGAGGCCACAGTGTAGACGAGGTAGACCAAGTATGCGCATGTCGCTGGCAGGATGACTGTACCGAAGAGATCAATGAAGACCACGAAGCGCATGGAGAAACAGCAAAACCCGCAAAGGTCGACTTGCATCATTTCTGCCAGATTGTGGATGGTCGAATTGATCCAGCGACGACGTTGTGAGAGGAGGACGGACCATTGAGCCGGTGCTTCCGTGAGAGCGTACGCGTCCGGAAGGAATTTGTAAGACATGGACGGGAAGTGTTTGCACATCAGAGTCGTCAGATAACGATCTTCACCAAGAGACAACAAATTCTTCTTATGCAAAGTGTCGATCTGGCTGTCCGCGTACTCTCTGCAAATCTTGTCGGAAATGATGAGAGGTCGCCCTTTATCGGCCGTGCGTAGGCGATACATGCAGAAACTGCGAGTGGTCGTTAGCAAATGAGCCGCCTTTTCTCCAAAAGTGAGTGCAGATACATACCATCCGGGCAAGCAAGTAACACTGCCGAATAAGCTCTCGAATGCCTTCGCCAAGTGGTGAGAAATGTAGTACTCGTACACCTGGATCATCGTCCACCAAGAGCGCTCCTCGTTCTCCAGGGACGTTTCACCACATATACCAGCAATCTTTGCATCGTTCGCGCAAGCTGCGACAAGCCTATTGAGGGAGTCCTCCTTGACCTTCGTATCGGCGTCAACCATGAACAGATACTCGTACAGCTCCGGATCGACACCAATGATATTGTTGATCTGGTGGAACATTTCCAATTCCAGAGGGTTCATCGCCGAGCGGTGGTGTACGCGGTTGAGGAAACTCATGAGCATGATTTGAGAGTCACGCTTACCACGGTTTCCGGGCTTCGACTTGCGCTGTTCCGACTCCTTGCCGACCTTGACCACGACCAAGTATGGAACCACATTTCCCTCGTATTCGTAGAGGCCAGAATAAACTTTTCCATAATTCAGTTGTTCGGCTCCGACACCTACGGACTTGAATGGTAACGCCGGAGGATCTATCTTCGGGTCAACTCCTAGGATGTCCAGGACGATCTTTGGAGTAGGTCGATCATTTCCGCCTCCGACGATCATACCGTCGCAGATAACGCAAATGAGCTTCCTCTTGTTGTCGTAGGCCAACGCAGTGAGAGAGTCTAGACCTTTTCGGAGGGAGTCTTCACCTTCGGTATATGCTGGAACTTGGCAAATGACGAATTTGTCTTGCTGAGACGGTCTTCGTTTGGAACCAAGCTGGAGAGCGGCCAAGAACTTCGTTAGGATGACCGCGCACAAGATGATGGTGAAGGCAAGTAGAATATAGTTGTTCACTTGACATCTGGCGGACTGACGGAAGTCGACACCACCGATGTAGAACATGTTGTTCAAGCAGTTCAGACTGTTCGTGCGGGTTGTGAAGTTGAGGTTCTTGTTCCATTGCTCTGTGATGTCGCCGCCAGGATTGTTGGAGAAGAGCGTCACGACATCAGCTGGGAGGAAATCGTAGGCAGGAAGATGATTCTCCAGGTCGAGAGTGTAGAAGTAATTCGTCAAGTCATAGACCTTCTCGTTGATGATGGACCATTTGCGGCTGTACTTCTGTCCTTCGCTCGCAATGGTGGATCGCTTATAGACCAGCTCGCCTTTATAGTACTGCTTCATGCGTGGCAAGAAGACGTCGATGTACCAGTTGATGTTGTGCAGCTTTGTAGTGGTGTCAGGTTGAAAACGCGGACCGGAGGTGTGCTCGGCGTTGGGATATAGCAGAGTGTTATTGCTCTGGAGCTGGATGGTGTCCGATATGCCCAGGCCAGGACAAGCAAGCGTGAGAGGTGGCACGATATACTCTGTCACGTCAGCTCCCGCAAATGGTTCCATGTTAGTGGTCGTCGTTTCGATCGAAGTATCCGAGTGCTGGAGTTTGTAGAACTTGGTAAGATCGTAAACGCCTCCTCGGAAGGATGCATAGTAGTCGTTCTCCCCCTGGTGATAAGAGACTTCCTTGCGAGACCATACCTTGTCACGGTTGGGGCAAAGGAGCTTGCCAAATCCTATGATATAGAAGACCACTATGCCGTTCATCAAGAAAATAAGTATCACCAACGCCAGCTTCTCTCGCCAAGCCATGCGAACATCGGGACGCTTCATGCGGCCGAGGTGGGTGAGAAGTGGTGAGGGTATCCAGAAAGTCATGGCCCAAACAAGGCTCACCCACATACGTCGGCCTCTGGTGACAGGGAGGATCTCGAGCTCTTTGCCTTCGGCCAGTTCGCCGTCAATCTCTCCCTCGAAGCCGATGTAGTTGCGCTTGTCGTCGCCCTTGAAGCCGAGACCGTAGTCACCTCCGCTGATACTACGGATCGTGTGAGCCTGGGTTGGTGCGAGACTCTTTGCTCCCATCCTACTTGGAGCAACGTGGCTTGGGTTACGAGCCAGCGTTGAGCGACTGCCATCGTCGAAGCCGCCAAAGTTATTCTCTGTGGCGGCCGCCAGAGGAGAATGGGCGCCGTAGCCATCCATGCCAGCAGCACCTACCATGCCGCCAAGCATGCCAGAGCCGGCCATATCGTCTGCTGGTTTCATGTCGAGCATGCTCTCGGCTTCCCAGTAGGCTGCTTCACGCATCCAAATGCGCTCGTGACCAACAATGACCTCGCCGTTGCTCCAACCACGCTCAAGTATCCAGCTTTCGACTCCGTCCTTGCCGTCCATGCATCCCAAGCGGCGATAGCGGTCGACAAACTCTTCCACATCAAAATCAGCGGTGAAGTCGAGTTGCTTGTTCCTGAAGTTTGCCCATTCTGGTAGTCTCCAAGCACGGATTTGGCTCGAAACCGAGCCTGCGGACCATGGAAAGCTTCCCGGTACGTGATTTGCGAGATTCGCAGGCGACTCGTCACTCGGGTGCAAGCACAGCTGAAACCACACTCGGCTGCTGCCCAGCACATCCATGAGCTCAAAGCGACCAGTCTTTCCCAGTGAGATTCCGTGGCCAGCAATTGGGTACAAAAGTTGCCTTAAAAAGCTGTCGTCATCAGTCTCGATTCCGACCTTCTCCAGCACGCGCTGTCTGCGGTCCAGTTCCATTTCACGCTCTCTGGCGGCTGGACCACCAGGGATGTTCAGATCTGCCTCAGCCTGGGACACGGAATCCTTCATCTCTCTGATGACGGAAGACCCAGCTGGCACGATCGGTACACCGTCTTCCTTCATCTCGGCGTTGATGCCGGTGCTGTCGTCGAAGATTGTCTTGAGACAAACGGCCTTGCCGAGAGTCTGGCTTGGAATCTCAATGAGAGTGATGCTGACGCTATCGACGTCGTCGTGGCCGCTGGAAGGCGTCGCAGCACCATTTTCACTGCCACTGGACGATGCGAGAGCGCTTCCATTCCTTATCTCATTTCTGATGGTCTCGTTGGCCTGCATGATGACCCAGTCCACGACTGCTTCATAGATTGCCGCCATCAAGACTTGTCGCTCGTCCGTGGCGCATTTCTTGAGAAGCACTTCTGGATCGAGATCCAGCAATTCTCCCACTTGCTCACAATTTGACTCTAGCTCTTCCTGGTCGACGAGGAATCCTATCGCATCACCGAGGCGGAGTATGGCGGCAAGGACGGAGAGCAGATTTCGCAGGGCCTTACCCTTGATACCAATAGCCTTGAGCGATTCTCGAAAGTCTTCGGCGGCGGCAGTGTCGTCGGCTGTTGGAAGATACGAAGGTGCTCTATACGTGTCGGACTTCCTCAGCAGAGCGTATTGGTTGGGTGATTTCAGGCCCAAGAATTCCCTCTCCTGCTCACTCTGTGAGGTGAGAAGATAATAGAAGACATCAAAAGCCCTGTAGCCTGATTCTGCGGGAATGTTGAGCAAACCGGTTTGAGTGTCAATGCCGGATGACGAAAGGCTGAGAGAAGCGCCGGTGATCTCTCCAGTCAATGCGAGGGTGAAAATGGCGGCCAGTCCGGAGTAGCGAGGCAAGGAGGGATTAAAGGGGGTCAGACAGTGTAAGAATGGCCGTATGGCATTAAGAGCGGTGTAGAAGGTGCCGGGCACGGAAAGGGGGAGGGCGGAGGCAAACGGAGCGAAAAGGGAGGGAGTTGAGTGGTGCAGAGAACTGTGGTGGTCGCGGTCACGGTCAGCTTTCACGTTGCCAGCAGAGCAGGAGACACAGAGTGTGCTATTGCTTACCCCAATATTATGCAAGCGTCTTCTGCTCGACGTCGCGCATGTTCCCAGGTCCTTCGGGCCAGATCTGAGTCGATTGTGCCCCCATATCTGCCATCTGGACCAGTACTCGAGCCGGTCACCCAGGTGTTGACGACCAGACTGGCGCTCGATTCCAGCGCATACGACTGACCGGATGAAAATGCGCTGTGCAATGAATTGAGCAGGGTGGTGGTGCTGACGTGTGCGGTGCTCTGCTGCATCGTGTTCGTCGGTGGTGGGGGAGCGGACGAGTTATTAGAGTAGGTAGACATGCGGTATGCCATGTTGGGCGGTAGAGATGCTGGTGGCCAGAGCCCTCTTGGGGCAGATGCTGGGTGTTGCGCGATCCCAGTAGAGCCGCCGGTTCTCTCGTGAGAGTTCGCTGGTGGTGGCGGCGGCGGCGGCGGCGGCGGCGGTGGTGGTGGTGGTACTGTGTCCTCACTGTGTGCTCAGCTTCTGCTGGCTTCTGGATTGCAGTTGCTCTCTGGACGCCGACGCCGACAGCACTTCCTCTCAACAACGAATGTGGAATTGATCAGTCGTCCTGAAGGCTGAAGCGAATGGCAATAATACTGGTGCAGGGACGGCAAGCGAGTGTTGGTAGGGCTGGCTGCGTTCAGAAGGGCACAATAATAATGCGAAGAGGAGGCTGCAGACAGGAGTTGGATCACTGGCTTGGAGCAGGGCGTGAAGAGGAGCGAATGGGAATCGGGCGTTGGTAGTGCAGCAAGGGGCCGGTTCAACAGTGATGGTACCAACTCTAACGACCAATTCAGTCGCAGCGAAAAGTAGGTACAGTAGTAAGCATGACTGACCAAGCTACGATTTGCACACGCGACACACACATGAATAATTGCACCGCAATGACATTGCTTCGAACATGGATACGAGAAGGATTGTTTGGCCCTCTGCTTCATACGGGTGACGGAGTGCTCGTATTCAACTGCACCAGCGTGGACGGTCAATGAATTTCTGTGGTCGAGAGAAGCGGGTGGCGGCAACATGGTCGCGAATAGCTCACGCTAGACCAAAAATAGGCGGAGAGCAGCAGGTGAGCTCGATGAAACTGCGTGCATGCAGACGCAGACGCAGACGATATTACGCGTCTCCGTACTGCAGTAGTCCCATTCCCACACTGCATGCGATGGCGATGGCGATGGCGATGGTGATGACAATGGCGATGGGCTGGCCTGGGCTGGCCTGGGTTGGGCTGGCCTGGCCTGTTGGTCCACCAGCGATCGTCCCGTGCTCGTCGTGGTGGGGAGAATAATAATAATGTGCAGACGCTGATGCAGTAAGGTGACTAAGGCACGGGAAGTCGGGAAGCAAAAGGCTGTCGAAATGCCAGGGCCATGGCGCACAATGATCCACGCCTGGTCCGAGCCACCGTGCGCGTGCCACCGAGAGCACACTCGGCGTGCGTTGTGCTGAGGCCCTGTCTACTTGCAACAGGTTATAGCATAACCTAGCCGTAGATTATAACAACTCTTCTAATAACCAACCTGTCTTATATAACAACGATTATTAAATCGTTAGTTATCGCTATGCTCGTAAACTCGCTAAGATTATACTATATATAGTATAATTAGTATAACTAACTCTTAAGAAGCTTTTAAGCCTATCTATGCGCCCTATAGACTTCCGGTATAGCGCCGTAGTATCTACCTCTTTCTACGTCTTACAAAAGGAGCTATATAGTAGTTAATAAGATATAGGGTAGCGGAGGTAAAGAATAAGATATAATAGAGCGATTATTAGCGGTCGTATTGTCGGTAAGCGCTATTACTAGTACGATGCCGTTATTGCTCGAAGAACTACCTAAATTGCGCCGCTATACGATATATCGACTACTAGGACGAAGGTTAGTTTAGGTAAACTATAGTAGGATAGAAAGCGAGGCATTTCGAGTACTATATAGTCCGCCGAAGTACTATTACGAGCGTACGAGGTTAAAGTAACCGGTATTGTACGCGTTAGTAGAAGAGCTATAGAAGAATAGTTTAGAAGGCAAGAATAGAAACAAATACTCTATTAAGTTACGAGTTATTTTTTTTCTTATTATAGTCGGATATAATAGGAGCCTTAGTAACCTTGCTAACGACTTTAGTATAGTAAGAGAGACACTACGAAGGATAATCTATGCCGTATCGCGCTGTTTATATCGTATAGCGAAGGAATAGATTAAATTGCTATAAAAGGACGATAAACCGCTATAGTCTAAGGATACCGACGAAGGTAAGTTCTAGCTATATTTTAAGGGCATTATAGGCGCTATCGACGGCACCTTATTAATAGCTAGTCTATCGAAGATTAATAGCAATCTATAGCGTTATCGGAAGGGCTATATTATATAGAATATAATAGCCGCCTATAACTTGTCTTTACGCTTCTTATATATAATACCTAGATACGAAAGGTTAGTAATAGATAGCACTATATTAAGGAAGGCCTATTAGTTAGGCTTCGACGTACTAGATAGCTACTTCTATCTTATAGACAGTAGATATTCCTTTAAAGATCTACGGCTCTTAGTACTATATTAGAAAATACAATATTACTTTTATAAGTAAAGCGAGGCAGAAGAACGACCGACTAATTATCGAGAGATTTACAACCTCCGCTATACTTGGCTTCGTAACTATGTCGAGAGGATATTTAGTATTATAAATAGGCGGTTTAGGCTTATTAAAAAGGGACTAAATAGCTAGTCGATTACCTAATAAAGTCGCTTTATCGTCGCCTATTATATTATCTATAACTTTATCCTATCTAATAGTCGATAACCGCTGTCTTTAGAGCTAGGTCTCCTTCTAACTAACGCTAAATTAAATGCCGCTTAAGAGGCCGATATAACGGCTAAGGTTTACGTCGATAATAGGCGCTACGCCGAAAAGGTTAAGAATAAAAGTTATGCTAATTATCGTAATAGAATAGCGAGGTAGATATATACTAAATACGACGGTAATTAGTTAAGAACTAGACTTAATATAAGGGCTTAAAAGTAGGAGGTACTACTTAGAGTACGGCGAAGGATGTAATAGGGTTTAGTAGATACTTATAGAATATAAAGGCAATAGCTAGGGTTTAGCTTTTAGTAAGAAACTTAGTATAGATTCGAATTCTAGGCTTAAATCGTGCATTTAAGTGTTAGAGCCAAAGAGGCTATACGTAATTAGCATATAATTAGGCCGAGTAAAGCTAGGGTCTTAGTGCCTTAGGCAGGGCTTAGCGCTTAGCGTTAGGCTAACTCTCCTACCTTCCTCCCTCTCCTCCTAGATCCTTATCGAATACTACCTATACCTACTACTACCCTATCTACCTACTAATATAACCCTTCTTATATAGTATTCGATCTACTCTTTAAGGGCAGTAGCTAGATAGTCCTTATTTCAAGCTTTTAGCGGTATAGCTACGAATAAGACTAATTTAACTATATTGCGCCCGAAGAACAGAACCTATACGTACTATTCTATCGAAACAACCGTACTAATTATTAAGCAAGGCCTTCTATACGGCCTATTACACTAAGTTAAGCATACTAAGCCGATATCTACTAATTCCGCTATATCCTTATCTTAGGGGCTAATAATATATTATTAGTGTCGCCCCTTATAATAGCTAGCTTATTACGAAACAACAACTATGCTACCGCTAGTAGCACTAGCAACGATAACGCTAGTAGCACAGTGCCTGCTAAAGTGCCTACTAAAGTGCCTACTAAAGCACCTGCTAAAGTGCCTCCTACTAAGGAGCCTACTACTAGGCCTGCCGAAGAACCTATAATTCTAGGTAACGACCTAGAGTTGCCTATTAACGACATTCTTAGTAATATTGTTAACCGTCGATATAGCTAACTAGCCTTTAGCCCTTAACTATTAGGGAGACTTTAAGAAGCTACTTAAAACAGGCTTACTGCCCTACGTTAAGAACAATAGCTAAAGGATAATCTCTTCGAGCTCCGTCGCCTTTAGGAAGCCCTAATAGCAAAACTAATAGCGGGACCTTCTTTACTACCTATCTAAAAGAAGGATGCTAAACTCAAGGACTATACTATATTTAATAGCTCTAGTCGGAAGCAGTATAACGACTATATTCGTAACTATAAACTCAACTAGCGCAATGCACTAAGAGCGCTACTAGACGACTATTCCTTAGTCGTATACGCTATATAGTACATCAATAGCGACCTAAAGCGTATATAGGATAACTATTTCGACTCCCTTAATAACTAGACTGCTATTTAGTAGCAAACCTATAAAACTATTATACTAGACACCCTTAGAAACCCTATACTAAGGCAATAATATACTTAGGACCTGTATCTTCGAGCTAAATAGAAGACTAATTAATCGGCTCGCTTATTTGAAGCCTATTTAAAAACCCTTAAAAACGACCTTCCGCCTAAGACTAATTCTATATAGATCTCGGAAATACGCCCTAAGCTTAGATAGGAGCTTATTCTCGAATTAGACCGCCGTCGTATATTCGAATAGGCTAACCTAATACGTATTTAATTTATAGTTAAAGTAGAAACAGCTAAACGAGCTATCTAGCTTTAGCAACGACTAGAATTAAGGATCCGACTAGCTAGTACTAACCGTAGCAACCGTAGTAGCCGCGGAGGAAACTAAGGTTCCTATTAGGACAACAATGCTAACAATAGGAATAGTAACGATCGTAGAAGAGGCCGTAGCCGGCGGCTATATAGAGGAGGCCGCGATAGGGGCCGCGGAAGGGGCTCGTATCCCTATAATACTAACCGCTCGGCTAATAATAGCAATAATAGCTACGGTAGTCTACTAACTAGGTTGAAGTGCTTTAATTGTAACAGTACTAGCTATCTACTAGGCTAATACGACAAACCTAAGGACTAGGCCCGAATTGACCGTGCTTCCGCTAAACACCGAAAGCACCTCTTAGCGGCTAACGCTACCCCTATAGGCTAGCCTTCGAAAAAAGAGTAAGCGCCGCACTAACTATTAGCCTCGTACGGCGTAAGACTATCGATATTATGCTAGCTATAACACGCTCCTACCTTGTATAGGATACGAAGGGCACTATCTATTAAACTAAGGTTATACTAGATCTAGGAAATTCAGTTAGTGCCCTTATTAGCTATCGCCTAGCTAAGTAATTAGACCTTCGATAACTGCCGAAGACCGACCTGCTAACCCTTGCTTAGTTTAATAACGCCCGGCACTTAACCTATAGAGCCTACTATATTCCTATAGCTCTAAAGGACGACCTCGGAAATAAACGCCTACTAGACTTTACTGCCTACGTAGTAGATATAGACAACCTATATAGGGGAGCTACTATTGTTATTAGCAACCCTATTCTTAAGTACTACGCTATAGCTATAGACCTAGGCCTCTAGAAGTAGCGATTTAGAATCGCTAGGAAAGAGGACATTAAATACATTAATGTTAGCGAGTGCCCTAACGATATTAGGGTCCTGTTTATTAGCAACCTAATACCTGCCTTAGCTAATCCGATAGCTAATCTTCTCGGTAGAGATAACGATGAACCTATACCCCCTAATAGTATAGACCCTAATTAGCTCTCTCGTATACTAGTACCTATTTAAGA